TATTGCTAATGCCAACCTACAAGCGACATTATTATCCCTGCAAGAATCAATGCAAGAATCAATGTCTAGAATGCAGGAGATTATGATTAGGAATCATAATGAGACCAGAGCAGATATTAGCGAACTGAAGGAAGAAATGGGTAAATTAAAAGAGGAGATGAGAGCAGATATACAGAGACTTGAAGATAGGGTTGGGACAATGCAATTGGCCATGGAAAGAACTGAATTAAAAATAAAAGAAATAGAGAAGAGGACGGAACAAGCGGAGAGGAACCTAGAAAGGACTGAGGAAGATTTCAAAAATGTTAATAGAGAAATGGAAGATTCCTTGGTCCAACTTGAGATGGACAGAGCAGCTGCATACTTAAGGTTCCAAAACGTGGAGGAATCCAAAAATGAAGAATTAGAACAATTAATGGCAGGTTTGTTGGCTGAACTAGTTGAAAAAGAGAAAGATGACTTACTCAAGGAATTTGATGAAATCTATAGGGTGAATACCAGTTATGCAAGGCGTCACAATTGCCCAAGGGAGATCCATATCTGCTTTTCAAGAAGATGCATGAGAGACCTAATACATAGAAAGGCCAGAGATGAGAGAATATTATATAAGGGCAAAGAGATCATAATTCTCAAGCAGATTCCAAGAAAAGTGAGGACCATAAGGCAAGAATATAAATTTTTAGCTAATTACTTAAATAAAAACGAAATATCATTTAAATGGCTAATCCCAGAAGGGATGCTAATATCGTGGAAGGGAAGAAAAATTAAAATAGACTCAATAGAACAAGCACAAAACTTCCTAGAACAGCTAACAACCACGGAGGATCAACTCACTAGGGAGAAAATCCAAAGGAATATGCAGGAAGATCGTAACCACCACAGGAACAAAGAAGAAAGATCTGTCCAAATTCAAGGGAAAGACAACTTACAACGAGAAAGAGAAGAAACAACTCCATATCAACCACAAGAAGAGAGCCGTAGAGTTACGAGACAAAAAGCGAGGCAGACTTAAGTAAATGGACGAAGGAAGGAAAATTCTTTCCATTAATATAAACGGCCTAAATTCAAGAGCTAAAAGGAAAAGGATTCTAACCAAACTAATAAAACAAAATGTTGATATAATTTGCATACAAGAAACACACATAAGGAAAAGTGAGGAGAAATTCCTAGATTGTCCGAAACTGGGAAAATTATTTACAGCACCAGCAGATAAACACAAAAAGAAAGGTATTGCAATCTATGTGAGAGATGACTTAAAAGCGGAGTTAATCTGGGCGGACCCTGTAGGAAGAACTCTGGTGGTACAAATCTCGATTAATGGCATTACACTCCTACTGGTAGTAATCTATGCCCCAAATGATGATCAAGGTAAATTTTTTAAACATCATCATCTTATTTCTATTTCTAATATAACAATACTATCTTATGTACCTTTGCAGAATCCCTTTTTCAATTAAATTTTCACCCATTATCTCTGAATAGGCCCTGTTTCTCCATATCTTCTTTCTGTCCTTTATAACTTCTTTTCCTTTCCTTCTTCCCTCTCTTCTTCTCCATCCCCCTTTTACCCCCTTGTCTCTCTAGTTCTAATTTTCTCTTCTGTATTCCTCTCTTCTGTTGCTTTCTAATATTATACTTATTTTTCAAGTTATTATTCCTTTTCTTGGTTGTTTTTTCAAATCTTAAACTTTTCATTCTCTTTCCCCCCTTTCCTTTTTTTTCCCCACATAAAATTACTCATTCATTAAAGATGGCTTCTTCCTTGTCCCAGTCTTCTTGTTCTGCAGGCATTTCTTGTTGTTTCTCATAGTTTGAGATCTCCATTTCTAAGAATTGAAATACGAAGCCAAAAGAACGTCTCCCTTCTTGTGCATCTTCTTTGTACTTTTTAAGTTCCATTTTCAGTTCATCTAAAAGTAGTGCCATTTTAAAACACTTTTAAACAACCACCCAATTGATTTTAGTCATCCAAATGCAATAACCAAAAATCCAAAGATCACCAAATAATCCAAATACTCCCAAGCTGTTTCTTCATGCTTCTTTTTTCCGCTTTCTCTTCCTGGGGTTCTACTATTTTGTAGCCAAGTTTCAGTTAAAATGTATCTTTTAGAAGGCTTGTTGAGGTTTTACTGTAAATTCCTTTTAATTCCAGGCATTCTCCTCCCTTTTTTCCAGATCCTGCCCTTTTATTCTTTTTCTCTTCTTTCCTACTTTTAAAAGGTTTTAAGTATCCAGAAATCTTTATTATCCCTTTGACATTTTATTTTCAGCTTAAATGCCTATTGTTGTCAAAGTGGATTTTTTTCCCAATTTCTTATTTAGATCTCTTAGCTGTCAGTATAGGCAAAAGGAGAGAAGAAAAAACCCAAATCCTTTCCCTTTTCTCTCTCCTTCGCTGCTTCAGAATCTTCTTTGGAAACAAGTTACTTTTTATTTTTAGTTTAAATTCCAGGGTACCTTACTTTTTGCTTTTGCAGTTTAACCCGGTCAACTAAAACTTTCTCTTCTTATTTTCCTCCTGCACATTCTTTTCCGGTCGAGTTCTTCTTTGAGGTGGCCATTTCTCACCACTGCTGCAACCGCCTTCAGGAAAGGGAGTAATGGCCAGCTGAGGAGGAGAGATGTGGCTCTCCTCAATCCTGCTGGCAGTCTCCCCCCTTTTCACCACCTCTATGGGGTGGCTTAGCCCCGAAACCAGCTGGCTCGGGGCGCTCCAGCAGTTAGCACAGATCGAAACCACACACAATTATGGTTTCGGTCTGTTCGCGAAGAGGCTCAAACCGGAAGTCAACAATTTTTATCTAGAATTGGATAAATTAACTTTATGTGCTAATTCTGGGTCCTGTGCCTGCATACATGAAGCTTCACTCACCTGCTGCTTGCGAAGTCCAGTTCCTAACAGGCTGTAGATCGGTACTAGTGTGAGGCCTAGGGGTTGGGGACCCCCCGTTATATTCTTGGAATGCTATGTTGAAGAAGCAGCTGTGGAAACTGTTTTTTGTGGGTAACCTTTTTGGCACCCATCTTTTTGCATTTGCGCCCCCAAAATGTAATATGTTCATGTCCCTCATACATGTGCCTCAGCCCTGTGTATGTGTGTGCATTCCCATGCACGTGCATGCAACCCCATGTATATGCATGCATCCCCACACGTGCCCCACCCCCTGCACGTGCACAACAGAGGTGGGGTGATGGCTCACATGCACACAGAGAGGGTGCCACCAGCTGGGTTTATTATATACTGTATATAGCCAGGGGTCTGGGTTTCAGAGATAGTATGATTTTTTTTGCCAATAACTTAATAGGTGTTTGACAAAGCCTTAATCATTGCCTGGAGTGGATGGAGGTTTCTTTTTGATGGTGCCTTCTCCCTGGAATTGTATTCATATTGCGGAAAACCTGACACAATTTATGCAAGTTTTAAGGACCTGGTTCTTCCCTAAGCTGACATGTTGCTTAGTTGAATGTTTTATACAATTAGGCCTGGTTTGGCCATGTTGTAAAGGACTATTATTGGTTGCTTTTATAATAAGCCTTCCAGGGTTGGTTGGGTTGGGTGACTGTAAGTTTATAAAATTTAAAATTTCATTTCATTTGAAAGATTCATTCAAAGGAAAAACAAAACTGCAAAATTTTGCTTATAAACTTTTGCTTAACTGCTTATATATTAATAGAAATTTGTTAGCAGTATTTTTGCAGGTTATTCTGCTGGTTCCTTTCTCCTTGATCACATGTCATCTTTTTCAGGACCAAATCCATCCTTCAAACATATAATGCATAATAAAACATATTTATATAATAATATCTATCATCTTTCAAATTTGCAGTTATCAAAATAGGGATAATATCAGAAGGAAACTGAATATTTTCACTAATAAAACTGTCCAATAATATAATGCAGTTGAGAATCCATTGTAATGCTATTTTATTTGTAACAGCAAACTCTAGCTACTTGCATATTTTAACTATCTCTGTTGTGCAAACCCAGTTCCAGAGTGCAATTTTACACATATTTCCCTGAGGGGAGATCCCAGTGGAGTCAAGAGGCTTATTTCTGGCTAGACAATAACTAATTGATGTGTACAATAGAAATTAATCTTGGTGATATTATTTTTAACACAATCATTTTGTTATGCAATATTGCATGTTTCTAAGAAAACAACCTGAACAGTTGCTTTTATTCTGTAATTATTGACTCAATTAGCATCAAAATCTGAGAAAAGCACCTCCAGATTGCAAAATGCTTATTTTATAAGATAGCAGTCCTTCTCTTTGTCTGTGTTAATAATGTCATAGCTAGAAATATGAACCCCAAATTACCAAATGATGTATTATGTTGTTAGGTGACATCCTGATAAGAAAAGTATGCCAGGTATCCTATGCACACTTCAAAAGTTTAGCCAATTGAGAATTTACCAGATTAGGATATTATCATATTAAATATCAGTGTTGTATCTGGTGATTTCATAGCGATTCTGAACAGTTAGACCAAGGATGGACAAATAATTTTCCCAATCGGCCACATGAGAAATGAGGACTGTTGTGAATAGCTGAGCCAATAGGCTGAACTTAAATCTGTTCAATTGCGTGCATGTTGTACACTTATTTACGTTTGATTTCTAATTTTTAATTGACATCACATGGGCAGACAGAAACAGCCAAAATGCCAGATGTGGCCTGGAGGCCAAAATATACCCAGTTCTGAGTTAGACAGTCTTCAAACAACAAAGCATCTGTATAGATGTGTAGTAATCAGGTCACATTACAGCAAGATGCCAGTGCTTCCTAACCTCAAATTATTTTGATCTAAGCTAAATTCTAGTTCATTGAAGCAAATTATTATAACACCTTCCTATGGCTTTTTTATAGGCAGTTAATGTTGTTTAATTATTTTTCAAGCAAGCAATTTCCTTCCCTCCCCTTCCTCCCTTTTCCTTTTGAATACGTTCTAGGAAGAAATGAAAATAGCTTAATATGTGTCTATTTTTTATTTTTATCAGGAATAGTGGCAGTTCTTTTTTGTGGAGTTACACAGGCCCACTACACATACAACAATCTGTCAGAGGACTCCAAAATGAGAACTAAACAGGTAACATATGCAGTCTCCCCATCTTTCTGACCCTCTGTTTGCTTTGTATCTTCTGCAATAGTAATTGGGTATGTCACAAAGCTGACAATATAGCCTGGATTTCATTAAAAAAAAAAACCCAAAGCTTTTATCTTCATTAAGGGAGAAGTATATTAACAACTGAACTTTGCTCGCAAAAGCTTTGGCAATTCTTCTGCTAAGCAAAATTTAAGAAAGGTCTGTTTTTCTTTTGACGCCAGAAGCATCAAATGTCATCGTAGATATGAAATATGTAGAGCTGGTGATAGTTTTAGTGCGTTTTATCAAATCAGCCTGGGCCTCTACTGGATATATACTTTGCTCAAGGGCTTATAGCTTGATAGAGTTTCTATCTTGTCTTTTGCTTGGAATCACTGACGCACACATCTCCCTGTCATCTCACAAATGCGGATTAAAATTCCTTTAGGTGAAGCATGATTTCCAAAACTGAGAACCATAATTCAGAAAAGATAGATCTTTTTTTCTGCAGTTTCTAATAATGAAGTTGATCTGCTTTGTTGCCATAAATAGACAGAGTGGATAGACCATGTTTAATGATGTGGTAACATCCAATTTGATGGTGATGTGCATTATGTTTCTTTTTTTCAAAATATGATGGTTTCAGGTACCTCCTGTTTATTCCACCAACTCAGACCCATTAAGTCCAGGTAAATATTGCAGGGGTCAGATTTTCAAATAAGAAAAAGTACAGCCCAAGGAGTTCTGTAAGGAATAGAATACCTGGAGTAGATGAATTGTCTGAATGATCTCCAGGTTCTAGACAAGGGTCAAAGTAGGACCCCTTGGGCTAGATGCGTCGCATGCAGACCACTCCAACTCCAGCTCTGTGAAAAGATAAAATATCGCGATATATCACGTGACAGCAACGTGCTGTAAGTTTGGCACCCGTGTTCTAGAGAAAGAAAACACTTGAACATATATCTTGTTGGGGCAGAAGTTTTGCAGGATCAGAAATTTTAAAATTAAAGTTCTATAATCAGTGAAAATAATAAGTCACCTTATTTTCAACATCTAAGCACTCTATTTCTAACCCTCATGTAAATAATTGGTGCTTTCACTGGTTCTTTGTTCAACCTCCTTACCTTGTTATGCTTTAGTGCCTTTGGTATTAGTTTTGATACATCACTTCACTTCTAGTTATTGTTTTCATAATCTTTTATTACTTCTATAATAAAAAACTATACTTGTTACTGTTCAGATTTTTTTACTTGTGTAAATGTTCATCTTAATTGCCCATGAAATCCTAAAATGAAAAAACTTCATAGGTAATTTCTCATGTGCTTATAGCTGGTTTTTTACTATAGTCCTAATATGACTACATGATAATCCTAAACTTCTGCTCCAAAATTGTATCTTAACAGCAGCACAACAAATATTTCTGCAGCTAGTCAGATACCATCATCATAGATTCCAATCTACGACTTACCTTTTATAGATGAATTATCTAGCCATAACAAACTCGAAAAGCATCATCCAATCAAGAATTCAGTACTAATCAAAGTCAATCTGTGTAGAATAAATGTCTATATCTTTCTTAATCAGACCCATTTGTACATCTGAATTACAATAAAGCAAATCATTTGGTTCATAAAAGTGGTTGGATGATTTGCTGTTCCCTTATTTGACCACAGAATTTGAACACTGCATCATAATTATTTGCTGAGTTGTGATTTATCAATATGCATAGACATTATGATATGTCTGGTTGTAACATAGAAAAGATAGAAATGATAGCAGTAGCAAATGAAGTATGGAATAGAGTGGAATGGAATGGAATGCCTGCTCACCACTACTGGATTTTTTCCAAATAGAAAGCAATGTATTTGATTTTCATGAGCAGATTGTGAGCTCAAAGTCATCTTTAGTATCTAATTTCATCTCTTGTGTCAAAAAATGCAATCAAGCCAAACTCTTGAAGATTATCCATTAGTAGGTGAAGGCATTAAAATCCCAACCTTCAGAATTCTGTATGCCCTATAAAGCATTGCATTTAATTGTTTTTCTTCTGATCAGGCTACTCAAGAATTCCTGGTAGCTATTGTGAAGTGCCTGCACTGGTAATATTTAAAAGTATGTAGGTTCAGTATAAATGTTTTATTACATGCAATAGAGAGTTAAGCAGTGAAGGCATCAGGTTAGAAACTAGGAGACCATGAGTTCTATTCTCACTTGGACACAAAGCCAGATATGACCTTGAAACAGTCACTCTCTCTCAACCCTAGGAATTGGGCAATTGCAAACTATTCCAAAAATCTTGCCAAGAAGATTGAAAGGATATCATCAGACAAGTCCTGGAGTCAACATTGAGAAAACAAAAAAGGGAGTCAAAGGGACGAAGAAAATTGGCTTGTGAAGGGGGGAAAAACAAAATACCAAGGATTTCATTTTGTTGTCTTAAATAATTTGGAGTCACATTCAGAAGCCCATTTGAAATAAAAGTGGGAAAACAGATAAAAGTTATCAGATGTTTCATCAAAACAACCACTTAGGCTCAATTTGGGAAGAGCAGATTAATTGTCTATAAAGGATTACCCTATCTAGCACTGCAGCAAAATGTAGTGGACCATGTCCAGAAAGGTTTTATTAAAAAGAATGAGGTCTTTCTTTTGTCAGTCTTAGACAAAACCACTTGTCTATCTAGCTAAATGTCATACTATTCCATATAATGCCAGATATAAAAGGATAGCTGTTTGAATAGTATTCCAAATACTTATTGCTAAGAACAAGCTGTAGTGCAGCTAGTGCTAGCTATTAAATTCAGAATCCACACCAAAGCTTTAGCTTTTTTAATGACTGTGAAGTAGGCACTTTGGAAATTTACCATATAGTTCTGGACAATACAGAAAGCTTCAAGCAGTACAACCATCCTGACAAGGAAGTTAGTGATGTTAGTTTATTATATTGATTATATTTACCTCAATGTCAGGATTTATAGGTACTTAATGTACCAGTAACTTTTGACTTTCAACAAAGTAGAAAACATTCTTGGTCTAGAAAGAATAAAAGAACTGATGGTTAGCAAGATAGTATTTTTGGCAAGAAAAATATAATGTATTATGTTCCCAAATAACCTATTAATCTTGAATTTTAAAATAATTAATAACATCTTCAAATAACTAGCATAATTTCCTATATGCATCAGAAGTAAATATTACTATTGACAAATATACACAGTACATTTTCAGGGAGGAAATGAACTAACATCATAATAGCAGCCTTTTTTAAAAAAATCAAATGAATAATATTTATTCATAGTCTTTATAAGGAATGGCCATTAATTTAACTAATTTAAGACAAAGAAATTTAATTTTCTACCACAATTCTTCATTTCCTAATAAAGCTTTATTTTCAATAAATGTAGATCCATCAACATCCAGATTCGTATCCCCTTTACTTATGTGACTGATATTGTTTAATTTATTGTTAATATACTGATTAATCTTTTCTTTATTTATTGAAAATTGAGACCTATTCAAAACATATTATCCAAAAAATTGGTTCAAACCATATTTGCAGCACTCAAACTGGTAGCTAGCATCACATCACAGTAAGGCCCCATCTTTGGGGGTCGGGGGAGAGATCTATCTTTAGATAGGACATTTATTTATTGATTGATTGATAGATTTGATTTGTCAATTGTTTACAAGATAATCAGTATAAGTGTACATAGTTTTGAATACATGAAATGGGTACATATAAGAAAAATAAAAGAAAAATAAAAGAAACAATAGGACAGGGACGGTAGGCACGTTGGTGCGCTTATGCATGCCCCCTAGAGACCTCTTAGGAAAGGGGTGAGGTCAATAGTAGACAGTCTAAGGTTAAAGTTTTGGGGGTTTGGGGAAGAAACTACAGAGTTGGGTAGAGTATTCCAGACATTGATCACTCTGTTGCTGAAGTCGTATTTCCTGCAATCAAGCTTGGTGCAGTTAATCTTGAGTTTGTATCTATTGTGTACTCTTGTGTTCTTATGGTTGAAGCTGAAGTATTCACTGACAGGTAGGACTTTGCAATGTATGATTTTATATACCATGCTTAAATCAGACCAAAGACGGCGTAATTCAAGGTTTTCTAGTTCTAGAATTTCAACATCTGCTTTCCAAAGCATGTAGTATTATATTGATGGACTCCATCTTTGTGTTACAAATACTACTGCTCTATAGATGTTCATGATGCAATTTTCTCCAGTATATAATAAGGACAAAGCAAACTTACAGACAGGCATCACATAGCATTAAAGAAGCAAGCATCTCAGTTGAACATGGCTCATAGGAGGCAGAAGATATCCTTTTAATCTGAATTGCTAATAACCTGTTTATGTCAGACCAAAATTTCTGTTGAAGGCCTTTGATTTAGGGAAACTGTAAACATACCAGATGGTAAGTAACCTTGTTAACCCTTATTTTCTAGTATATAAAGCATTTTACCTATAGACAGATAGTTTCAAATGTTAGTCTATTCTCCCCGCTCTACAGAAGAACATACTGGGTAATTTATAAAGTTATAAGGATTAGATTTAAATCATCCACATCTTGAATATAAGTAGTGCCTGGAATAATTAAAAACTTTGCAAATGATTTGCTATTACAATAAGATTAGTAATCAGACAATTCTGTTTGATTGGAAAGAGAATGTGGATGTATGCTAAGTATATCCTCTGAACAGATGTGCCAAAAGTTCTTAAAGAAACTCTAGTGGTTATCAGAATCTTTTACAACAGTGTATAAAACATATACCTTTACATGAACCTATAGTAACCTTTCATTATCATATATTGTATTAATTAGCCCCAAAATGTGTATACACAATGTTCTTGTGCATATAGAAACACATCCCATTCAATTCAAGGGAGACAGCATATCTTCCTATCACAGGGATCTACTAGAATATTAAAATAGTGTAAGATGATGGGAACTTTGGTGTAACTCAGAACATGTATATGCAGAAGAAATAATTAAATT